CGGACAACGGATTGAGCTTGGAGAAATCGAGCGATGTCTGCTCAGTTCATCCATCTCTGCCTGTGTGGTCATCACGTGGGGTGATGCTCATCTGGTCGCATATGTGCAGTCCTCTTCGGCTACGAACAAGAAGCAGTTGCGTGAGTATTGTCAATCTCATCTGCCACCACATATGATTCCATCACTATTCATCATTCTGGATAAATTACCTTTGAACGCGAATGGAAAAATTGATCGAAAATCGCTACCACATCCGGAATCGGAAATTTTTTCGGAGAAAGATTATGACAATTCTATGCCATTAAGTCCACTTGAAAGACATCTACAGACGATCTTCTGTCAGTCGTTAAACGTCGCAAGTGTTCCAGTAGACAGAGAGTTGAAGTATTTGGGAGGCTCATCCCTGGATGCAATGCGCATTTTGTCAGCTGTTCGACAGGAAATATGTGATAAAATTGACATCAATCTTGTACTGATAAATTCATCTGTGAAAGAACTGGCGCGCGCGATGGAACCATTAATGGTAATGAAAAAAACGGTTGAATCAGATGTCATTTTGGAAGCAAAGCCAATTGATACTATATACAAACCATCGTTTGTGTTAGAGGCAGTCGGCATTGGTGTTCTTATGTGTTTGTGGGTATTTCCAATCTTGAGTGCATTATATTCAAGGAGCATGAGATATGTTATTTTGGTGCCGATTTTGCATATGTTACCCTATGCGATTTTACGATATTTTTGGTTCTCACAGAAGACAGAAACGGTGGAGTGTGGTCCATTATATTCATGGAGGTATTATCAATGGTGGTTCTTAGATCGTCTATGGTCAGTCAATAACTCTTATTGGTTGCAGCATCTAGTAGGAACACCTTTTTATAACACCTATCTTCGCTTATGTGGTGCTCGAATCGGTAATCATGCTCACATCTATAGTACGAATATAGATGCTCCTTGGTTACTTCAAATCGGTGATTCCACGGTTATTAGCACAGACACCTTGCTGACTAGTCTTTCACTTGACGACGAGACCTATTCTCTTCAAGAGATCAGTATCGGATCATACTGTTCAATAGATTCTCGGTGCGTTTTGTATGGCGGTGTGAAGATGGAAAGTTATATTCACGTTAAACCAATGTCTGCTATAACAGGAGATATTTTACAACCAACATACCATACAATATCTGATAAACGGTATATAAGTAAAGAACAAACGATGTATCAGCTAATTTGCATACTGTGTATATTGGGCGCCCATATTACTCTTATTTTTTCAACATTTCTCGCCTACGAAAAATGTCGAGTATTTTCATTGCCTTTATTCATTTCTCTTGTTCTCGCTTGGTTATATTGGACGTTGCTAAGCCTAGTGGTTGTCCTATTTTCACTGAAAGTTTTAGTACGGCATACCGTACCTGGGATCTATTCAATAAACTCTTATTATTACTTACGAAAGATCTGGTTGCGACAACTCTTAATTTCTTCATTTCGACAATCATTCGAACTGTTTTATGCATTCGATGAATTATCACCTATTGCGCTCCGCTGGCTGAATGCACACGTTGCTGACAATGTCAAATTGGGGAATTTACATCAGCTATTATATTTTCCCTCCAATCTGCAGATATTTGAGCACGGCGTGACGACGTTTGGTGGAGTTATGCTTTCTCCGTTTGCATTGACACCTTCGGGTCACTGTTACATTGATGAAATCTATCTTGGCTCAGGAACAAATCTCGGCAATCAGTGTACGCTCATGCCGGGCGCAAAACTTCCACATAATTGCATGGTTGGTACTCTAACGCTCATTACGAAAGACATAGATTGTTCCAAATCAGATACAGTTTTACTCGGTATTCCAGGTCGTTCAATGCCGTTTGCCATGTCTAATACGAGAGATTCTACGAAGGAGCCATCAGTTTTTGAATCGTCATTTCTTAACGCTATATGGTGCGCATGTTTATTTTTCTTCATCACAAAAGCTTCAGTCTTATTTTTCTACTGCGTATTTCCTGGTTTCCTTGCTCTCTTAGCTCACACGGTTTTCCTTTGTGTAATTTATCGTTATACAACAGCAAATCAGAGAACAACAAGAGCGCTGGAATACTCGGAATTCGTGACTTACACGGGACGCCTGGCCGAAACGGTTAAAACTGATTTTGTTACATTTATTGGTCCGTTTCTAGCACGAACACAATTTCTGGTACTTTTGCTTCGCGGACTCGGTGCAGATATCGGACGCGATGTGCTTTTATCCGATATTGGTTGTCTACTGGATCCTCAACTAACGACCATAGGGGATCATGTTCGCTTTCACACAGGATCGACCATCCAGGTAAGGGAGAATCGTCACACGTTTAAATGTAAAGACTTGAATTACTTTACTTGCTATCTTTCGGAGGGAATGATGTCTTATAAATTTCAGTAATTGGCGTCATACTGATCTTCTGAAAAATCGTCCCTAGTTGTGAACCATTGTCCGACAGATTGAAGCTCGGAAGAATAATGAAAAAACTCCTACGAACTCATTTACAGCTTTTCCTGTATTTTGACAGAAAGCATTTTTTACTACAGCATCATACGAATTTCATAATCGATTCTACGACCAAAAGTTTTTCAGAGTAAAGTTCTTTTCAATCGAGTATGAAAAAAATGACCCGGTGGTTTCGTGCAAACTGTCTTTCGAAGGCATTCAACATGTGTAGATACTTGTTAATAACTTCCGAAGCTTTTTACAAAATTCCGTGAACCGTCTGTTCAAAATGATTCACTGATTGCAAACAAAATCCGTAGTAAAAGTTCTGGCCTACAAAGTTATTATTTTTTGCTGAACCTCGTTGTATGAAACCGCATCGAGAAGGATAAGGATAGAGAAGACCGTATACTAGTGTACTTGTGTGTTTCTTTCTGAACTCTTATGAATTGTATATCAGAAAAAAGAGCTAATTACAGCTGGTGTTTTTGGTATAAAATTAGTAGTATCCAGGTGAAGAAAAGACTGGTTTTATTTAAAAAAGCTCTCATATCCTTCATGTGGAAAGAACTATGCAATCAATATACTTAAATTATAATTATGATCAAAGCCACGAAAATAAGAATCTTCTGATGACGGTTAGGAACACAATCACGGCTAATATAGGATACACAGTGAATCTGAGCGGTTGCCATACTGAAATTTTTCGATAAATTTCCTACTAAATGAGAGTATACACGCCTGAAGTTCATGAACTGATTCAAGAGAACTTTATAGCTGATCAAATACTTCAGTTCACATGATTTAAGCCGGCTAGTAAGTAAATGGTTTCGTTTTAAACTGAGCTATCTAAATCCCCACTTCTAATCTATGTGGCTTATATGATACTTCAGAAGTATCCACTGATGGATTTTGAAGATTATGCAAATGGGTGGTGAAGAGATCCTGATATTGCGAATCGATTACATACTGGAATGTCTTTCTTCATCTTACACGGCATCAAAAACAGTTAAAGCTGATGAGTATTTTTTCAGACAACTTATGTCAAATGTAAGAGTCCTTCGTGTTGTTAAATCTAAGAACATCTTTGATTTTAGTGTACAGATTCCTTGCATGCATTCAGGGAAAGAGGCACTATATTTTCTAAATAAAATGTGGCGGTTTTTACGAAAAAACGATTAAATACAACAAAGTTTTATTGTTTTTGTTTCTTGATCAATTTCGAAAGATTTTCCAACAAAGACATACTAATTAGTAAATTACGTGGAATAGTTTCTATCAAAGTCGGCCAGATTTTGATTGTTTATAACGTTTGCAAGAAATAATCATGACGAAGAGGGAGAAACGCTTCTCCACGCGAACTTGAACCCGCTCCGATGACACTTCTGTTGTACCACACTAATGTTATAATAAAACTATTTTTTGAGCTTGGTTTGGATGAAATAGCGTTCAGAGTAGATTTAAGTATTAGATTGACGTTTTGCCTCCTTGATATAAAGTCATTTTTTTATAACAAACTATGTGTCGTACTGTTGCCGGCAATAGCGCAAACAGTGTCAAAATAGTGCTCCTAATATATTTTTGCGCGAAGATTTTTGTGAGTCCGTATTTTTGCCCATAAAAATAGAACAAAAGTGTGGGTTTCTCACGACCTGTCAATCGTATAAGGTCAAGCTTTTGCTATCGTTCATTTGTGTACTCGAATTGCCTGTTAAAATACTTAGAGAAGTATTTACAAAATAGAACAAAAATGCTCATAATACTGTTAATTATTTTTAAATTTTATCTAGTGAAAAATAATCGATTGATGTAATGCTGGGTACAGTGACTCCTTTTGCCGATATACAATTCGTAAAAGTTCAGCAAGAAAAATACAAGTGCACTAAGATACGATCTTGACGGTCCATATTTTTTATGGTTCTGTTGTTGATTTGTGATTTGTTGTCTGTGCAGAAAACAAGAGAATAAAAGTGTACTGATTCTTGAATCTACATATATTTTATTTTTCGCTATACTATATGTATATTCCAATTTTAGTGTCATACGTTTGAACAGCGTGTCTTCAAAATAGCGTCTGTTAATGTACAACACTCAAGTGTTCTCATGAGTAATTCTATCGTACACCCTGGATCAATACTAAAAGGACGAAATCGACTACTTCCGCTGACACTTGTGATGAAAAGCGATCAACTACCATATGCCACTGTTTGGTCAGGTGTGCCAGCTCAACGGATTCAATAGCAACTTCTTCGATACAATACAGACCTATAATTTTGATTCTTCATTTAGTTTCATCTTAGACTCATGCTATTCTAGTTTGAAATAAAAAGAATTTATTAAAATAATTAAAATGGTTACCTTTCAATTAAATCAAATTTGCGTGTATTGTGTATCAAGAATTTCGTTTGATCTGGTGGTTTATTCATGATTGATGGTTCGCAAGCAAAAATATCACGCAAATGCGATTGGTTTTGACTAATAGAATATGGAATGTACGAAAAAATTGTTAATGTTTTAATCGATTTTCAGTGACGATAGTATCTCGAGCACCTTTTTTTCTACAAAGCGAAACGTCTTTATTTATTTTTAAAATCTAAAAAATGCATTAGCAATGGTTACTGACTGACTAACATCATCATTATTATCACCATGGATAGGTACTCGAATGACACCAACACGAGAAACTTGTTTATAAACTGTTACGTTCATCTTTGTTTCTTCCATGAATTGATCGGATTGTTTTTGTTTGAACATTCATGGTTGAGATTGATGTAAATATCCTGACCAACAAAGCGCTTAGAAGAGTTTAATAGGAACTTCGATGGATGCATAACCTAAGTGAATAAACAGTTATTAAATGATCACAAAGTGAATGCAGACGAAGGCTATCAAGCTAGGCGCGTTTTCAGCTTTTCTCTGTCATCGCTAACGATTGTCTGCTCAACGCATGTTGAAACCATGATGTTCATTACTCACTTTCAAAATTGGCCAAATCTCTTGTATCCTGATCGTGTGAACGTGTAGAAGTGTGAATTTTGTGGGACAAACCTAGTGAAATAAAACAGAGGGAAAGAATAAATCATGTTTTGTTAGAGCTTTGCTTGAATGTAATCTATATACGATAGTGGTTCGATAGTTTATTGAGAAAAAAAGAAAAAGAAATCTATGACAGACAAATCAGCGAACAGCTCTATTTCTCAGCTTTTCTCGTTCTGTGCTCGTTGTTGACGATTTGGTGGGCGTCGTAGAGGTCGTTTGGTCAAATTGGGATTGTTTTTGGTTCCTATGGTCAGTCGTGTATTGATCACTGAAGTTTGACGAAAGTGTTGATTCCATAGTTGATGAACATCCCTTTCGTAAGTAGACAGTCGACTTTCATGTGAGTAATGGATAATCATGTTTGAATCCCATTTAGATGAACCTGTTTTATGGAATTGAACCATGGACTCACTCATAGATTCTTCATTGGAGCCACGTGATGCTTTGTAGATACTTGATTGTATGGCAATTCCCTGAATAGTTGGTTTATTCAATAATTCACGGCGCCTCTTGACGAAGTCTTTTTCACTACGATAAGTGTTGATTACACTTTGATCCGTTTTATTTTGATTGACGAATTTATTGAATTGTGCATGAATAAATCAAGTCGGATACCTAAGGTTGCAAATATAACAACAGTTTGTCTCTAACTGTAGAAGATGTAACTTAACCGTTATACAATAGCATCAATTTGATGAACCGTTGTTCGTCGTCGAATACGGATAATGTCGAGGAGTACCGAACTGCTCGTAAAAGAGCAGTATGAATGATATTTCCGAATACATTTTTTGGATGATCAGATGTAAACGGTACCACATATGGTTCAGCTGCTTCCTTATGATGAACTGATGTTGTCAAGGTGCCATTCTTGTTTTCGATATGAACATCCAAAAATGACACATCGCAGCCAATGTTGCGCATCAGTTTAATGTTCGGGTGCAAATTATTAGCCGTATGTAACATTTCATTAACTTTGTCTAATGCTTCATTCGAAGTGAAANATGTCGTCGGTTTTGTCTATTATAGATGTCGCGGACTATATCCTAGTATAGATGGCGTGAGTGATGTTGTATGTAGATGGCGTTGATGATGTTACACATAAGTGGCGTTGATGACGTTACATATAGGTGGCGTTGATGATGTTACGAATAGATGGCGTTTGAGATGATGTATTAGAGGTTGGGCGGCAGGTTTGACATGGTGATAGGTAGATGAAGGTTGTCTGTATATGTATATCAAGGTGGGATTCATAGTGCGGTTGCGGTTTCTGATTAGATCTGATCACGGAAGGAGAAAATAGTGTTTGAAGTGTTGTGTTTGATATGGACAATATGCGTGTAAGAGAATATTAGTTTTGCCGAATATAGTGCGGTAATAGCTGGGCTCCATTTGATGTTGATAGTCGATGTTATCAAGGTCGGCAAGCTTAAGAGTTGAACGCAAGTTTTCCGTTATTTAAGTATTTCTTTGGGCTGAGGGTGTCGTGATTATCTGATGAACACGGGTGGCGTAGGTTCGTTGGGCGTTGATTGCTTGAAGTATTCGACTAGTGGACGTAGCTGAGTGGAAGGTTGAATTAGAATCTTAAGTTACACATATGGAAGTTGGAAGAAGGAAAATCTGCCGTGAAATAATGTTGGGTATAGTGTCAGAGTGTAAAAGTTCGAATTTTTGCGGCTCAGTCGGTATGTGAATACATTTGTTATGAGAAGTTGGAGGCCACAGGTTGTTCATTGTGGATATGATATTATTTTTGGTCTAGAATGGTGAAGCATCGTCATGAAATGTGTTTACTTTGACTGGTGAGAAACAGAGATCTGATGGAGAGTTCTAGTGAGATTTATTGATAACAACAAAATACATGACAAGAAAATGAATCTTTCTTATTCAGGGTTCAGGACCAGAGTCGTTGTCATTCTAATGAGTACAAATAAGTGCACAGAGTCAGTTCAGAGAATGATGATGACATTACACTTTACTTACTTTTTCATCTTGATTGGTAAGATTTTGGGAGATTGCACTGATACTATGTTCCAGTTGATATTCTTCGAGTGTGAGGTTTTCTGGAACGTCATATTCATAACTACTATGAGTCAAATTGATATCACCATTTGGATGATCAACAAGTAATTCTCCCTCGGATTCAGAGTCAGAATCAGGACGAAAACGATTATTGTTGTCAATGTAGATATCGACAGGAGTGAAAGCCATGCTAACCTCGTGTAGATTACAAAGCAACCTTTCACGAACATCTGATGGTACGTTTAATTGATTGATCCGATCGAATAACAGCTCAATTAGTTTATATTCAATGGTTGTACGATTGTTCAAGAGGAACATGAGATGACGATATTCCAAATCGTGGTCGAAGAATATTTGACTTTTCATGTCATTGATAATTTGTTGACATTCATGGTGAAGATTGATGCAAACATCGTGACCAACCGAGCAATTAGAAGAGTTTACCAGGAATTTCGATGGATGCATAACCTAAGGGAATACACAGTTAGTAAATGATCACAAAGTAAACGCAGACGAAGGCTATCAATCTAGGTGCGTTTGCAGCTTTTCTCTGTCATCACTAACGATTGTCTGCTCAACGCATGTTGGAACCATTATATTCATTGCTCACTTTCAAAATCGCCCAAATATCTTCTATTGTGTTGGTGTCCAAGTATCCTGATCGTGTGAATGTGTAGAAGTGTAAATTTTGTGGGACAAGCCTAATGAAATAAAACAGAGGAAAAGAATAAAAGATGTTTTGTTAGAGCTTTGTTTGAATCGAATGTATACACAATAGTGGTTCGATAGTTTATTGAGAAAAAAAAAGAAAAAGAAGTCTATGACAGATAAATCACCAAAAAGTTTTATTTCTCAGTTTTTCTCGTTCTGTGCTCGTTCTTGATGATTTGATTGGCGTCGTAGAAGTCGTTTGGTCAAATTGGGATTGTTTTTGGTTCCTATGATCAGGCGCGTGTTGATCACTGGAGTTTGACGAAAGTGTTCATTCCATAGTTGATGAACATCCCTTTTGTAAGTAGACAATCGACTTTCATGTGAGTAATGGATAATCACGTTTGAATCCCATTTAGATGAACCTGTTTTATGGAATTGAATCGTGGATTCACTTATAGATTCTTCATTGGAGCCACATGATGCTTTGAAGATGCTTGATTGTATGGCAATTTCTTGAACAGTCGGTTTATTCAATAATTCATGGCGCCTATTGACGAAGTGTTTTTGACTATGATAAGTGTTGACTACACTTTGATCCGTTTTATTTTGATTGACGAATTTATTGAATTGTGCATGAATAAATCGAGTTGGATACCTAAGGTTGCGAATATAAGGATATTTTGTCTCTACCCGTAGTAAATGTAACTTACCCGTTATACAATAGCATCAATTTGATGAACCGTTGCTCGTCTTCGAATATGGATAATGTCGAGGAGTACCGAACTGCTCGTAAAAGAGCAGTATGAATGATATTTCCGAATACATGTTTGGGATGATCAGATGTAAACGGTACCACATATGGTTCAGCTGCTTCCTTATGATGAACTGATGTTGTCAAGGTGCCATTCTTGTTTTCGATATGAACATCCAAAAATGACACATCGCGTCCAATGTTGCGCACCAGTTTAATGTTCGGGTGCCAATTATTAGCCGTATCTAACATTTCATTAACTTTGTCTAATGTCTCATTCGAAGTGAAAAAGACGTCATCGATATATCTAAAGTAAAGAAGAGTGAGACGAACAAGGAGATAATGTGGTGTTCAAATGAAAAGGTAAAACTTACCGGCCATAGATTTCGTTTGAAGATGCTTGTCGTTGGGCAAATTCCTTTTCCCATTTCCACATGAATATATTTGCCAAAGTTAAAGTGAATGCAGATCCCATCGCACCACCGACGACTTGTCGATAGAATTTCTTCTCATATGTGAACACATTTTCTGTGATGACAAGACGAGCTAATTTCCGAATGGCATCAATTGGTACGCCATTCACTTTTCTATAACCATGTTCCATGAGAAATTCGGTTAGAATATTCAGAGATTCTTCTTGTGGTAACATTGTGTATAAATCTGTGATATCGAATGTGCACAGATGAGTTGTTGGTTTCAGATAGCCGTTTGCCGCATATGTTTCGAGACGACGAATGAGATCAACACCGTCGATAATTGTAGTTGAACGAACATGTTTATCAAATAACGGTCGAAGTAATCGATCAAGAAATTTAGAAATGCCAGTCGTCGGCATATTCATTGATGATACAATCGGTCGCAGTGGAGTTCCTTCCTACAAATAGGAATAAAACAGTAGGCGGTAGTCAGCAGAAAATATTCAGAAATTACCTTATGTGGTTTTGGAACGAAGTATAAATAAGCGAGTTTAACTTTGTCTCGTTTCGGCATCATTCTATTAAATTGCCACGTGAGAATATGTTTTTTCGAACGAAGATCGTTGAGCAGATGAACGACTTTGTCGAAGACTGTCCATAGTGGATCAGTCTCTAATTCAACATAGGCTCCCGTTTTTTGCCGATAAGCGTCTGCTTTTCGCTCGTAATCTTTGCCATCGCCGATATGAAATATGCCACCCTTGTCCGTCACACGAAGAATCTGATTGTATTTCTTCAGACGACATTTGATTGATTGGATTAATTGCCGTTCTTGTCGAGTACGGTGGGCATCAACATACGACACTGTCGACATGTAGCGTTCACAAAGATACGTAGCAAATTGATGAGAGAACTGCTTGATGGCTGTCGATGTCGGTGACATGTGATATACGCGTACGAGAAAAGGAACGACAACATCAAGAATTCTATTGTATTCTCGTTCGATTTGCTTTTCTTGATGTGTACGTGAATATAGATATGTTTGATTTGGTCGAATATAGCTAGGACCTTCAAAAATGGACAAGAGTAGGCTAGGGTATGTATGTTGCATGCTTACCGTTGTGTGACAGATAGTCGAGTTGGAAGCGATTTAAGCACACTTTTGGCACATCAACTATAACTTGTGGATACACGTCAACGACATTGCATGAGAGGAATGGTTGCTGACGACGGCGATGTCGTGTTAATTTGACACGGAAGCAAGTTTCTTTGAAACGTATTTGTCGTAGAAGTCGATCGGCAAAAGCTGTCAAATAAGACTGAACAATATAAAGTAACATTTTCGTCTGATGTTGAGGAAGAGATGAATTAGTGTTCTCAATCTGTTGCTGTAGACTGGCCAACTCTTCTTGATATAAAAGTTGGTAATGTTCGATCTTGTTTTCATATTCTTGTAATTCAACATTTAATATGAATCTCTTGAGTTCTTGTAGTATCTTCAGGCGACTGTTGCTCAGCTGCTTTACATCGAGGTTAGGTATGATGGCAGAATCGAAAGATTTTGGTAATCGATGACATGAGATGCGTTGCTCGAACATCGTCAATTCTTCGAACACTTTCATTTGTTTCTGTCGGATACTTGTCAATCGATTGATTGGTTCCAGCTAGAGAAAAATATAAGAGAAACGATGAATGTTGACGGCTAGATACTACTTACTTGATCGACATTCGAAAAATAATACGACAATTCTTTGCCGAGCTGTTTTTCATGAATGTCAGCTTTGAATTGCTGTATTCGATAACGAATTGCTCTGATAAAATCAAGATGATGTAAACGAACGAACTCTTTCAGTCTTCCATCGATGATGTCCAACGGAGATAATGCTGGCGGACAACTCAACGATTGATTCGTCAATTCAGTTGTATATTCATCGATCTTATCACGTAATAATACCAAAAACTCTTCTAGATACTTTTGAACGACAGTGTGCTGGGCTGATTGTACAATTTTGTGAATGCTTTCCTTTAAATGGAACATACGGTAATGATACCATACGCGGATTCGATTAGATTGTCTGATACTTACAGGCCACATTTGAACTCTTCTACCCTGATCGAAAAATGTCTGGTAGAGATATCGCACTTGATCCGGGCAAAATTGATGATCAAGTAGTTGAAGTCGCGCCAAAATGAAAGACTGTTCTTTTTTTATTTTGATTGGATGATTGAGTTGCAGCCGTAATGAATGCAACAGTAGTTTCTTTGGCATTCTCAGATACTTCGAAGATTTTTTGAATGTAAAAATGTTGTCGTTTGATTCACGATTGTTGCTATTACTCGATGGATTCACTATATGACTTGATTTCTTCTTCTTTGTTGTCCCTGATGTCGACTTTTGTCGAGATAGTGATAATTGACTAAGAGATTTCACTGAATCCGACAGCAGACTCAGTTGAGATGGATCTCTTTTGCGTTTCGTTGGTTGTCTCGAGTGATCAACGATGGCTGCTTGTCCATTTGGCAGTTGTTCAGATATTGCGGCATGTCTTGTTTGAATTAGCGTGTTAATTTGCTCAGCCATGAGGCCACGAGCTCTGCATTTTCGTTTGAAATGTTGTAGTTTTCGATTTCCATGACATTTTCGCTTCTTTTTCTCGGCATGTTGTTCATGTACGGTAAAAGATTGTGTTTCGTAAACGAATGTTGCCGCTCTATCGTCTATATTTTGCTCGGGTTCATGAAAACAACGTATGCTATTGCTAGCATTATCATTGTCCATTATTAGCAAGATTGTTCAGATAAGTGTATTCTGATCTAGAATATAGGGAAAGGTGTATTTAGCTGATGGGACATGGTTTTTCAAAAACCGAGATATTTTCATATTTTTTTAAGTAAACAAAAGAAAACGATTTATTTGAAATAATGACAAATAACGCAGTAACGATGGTAGTTATTTGTTGAGGACTTCATACAGGACGACATCAACGCCAGGATAGGTTAATGATAGCATGATAGCTGCAGTTGTTCTTCCAGCAGTTGACGACGACGACGACGACGATATTGGCATCACTTCACCGAACAAGAGTGAATTATTCGAAGGTCGATTTTGATCGGTATTGCATTCATTCGATTCCGTTGTCAGATGTGCGACCGGTTTATTGTGTTCAATGTTTGAAGCTATGTGGAACAACATTCGGAAATAGCATCATCGTATTAGATGAAATAGTTTGCGTCAAAGTGACTTACAAATTGAATAGCTTGGATCATCAGGTAAGCCGTTGTGAAGATGACTCATTTGTTAATATAAGCCGAATTAAGATCTAGAACATAGTTAACTATCGATACCTAATATGCTTTCAAAGTCAGAACGAGAATGAAAATATTTATTGTGTGCAATCGAAATGGAAGACAACGAA